TTATTTAATTAAATAAAAATTTTAAGTGCATTACTATCTATAGTATAAAAAATTAGGGTTAACTTTGAAACCCAACAGCAAGAAAAAAGGAGATTGGGTAAGTACTTTATTTCTTGTTTTTGATATTTAATCATTATTTATTATTATAAAAGTAAGTAAAATCTAAAAAATATGGATATTTTTAAGTTACTTAAGACTAGATTAGGTAAAATAAGTAATAATAATATAATTAAAATGGTTCACAAGGTGCGCACGTGAGCAGCTCGTGGATAATGTAATTTGATAGCATAACGTGAGCTGCACGTTCCCTAAGTGATTTATAACTTATAATGGCATGAATAGTATTTAGACATGGTTCAAAGGGCAATAAAACAATAAAATTTAATGATAAATAGATGTATACTGTTACGAACTTAGAACTACTTGGGATAAACGAATGTAGTTTCATGTTATAATTTGAAGTCATTCTAGAAAGAAAAAAAGGGTAATTTAAGTTTATTTCGATTTTTTTTGGTGGTTCCAATGTCGGTTGAATTGACCAATCCCGTTTCGAGATAAGGTAGAGAAATTAACAGATAAACTATAACGTTTTACTGAGAAAAAACATTTGAAATGCATTTAGGAGGTTTTAGGGAATACATAAAGGAAATTTGAGATTTTTGAGATGAGGAAAAGTATTTTTAGTTTTAACATGAAAATTACTTTGCACATGGACTATTCAAAATAAATACTCAATATATTAATGGACAAATCTTTATTTTATTTTATTAAAAATACTTCACTAAAAATATGATGTTTTTGTATGTGAAAGACTTATAATACATGTCATTTCTATTGATAAATGTTAATCTCGAAACTAAGCAAAAAAGGAGACAGATACATGGCAACCTGAAAGACTGCCAAGTTTTGTGAAGATATACATACTATTTTGAAAGTTAGAAGTATTAAATCTATAAAGACTTTAATCGAGTACAAAGAGGTCACGTGGTAGGTCAAATTGACCGAGCCTGTGTTGAGAGAGTTAACTAAAGAAAGTAGTGACCAATTCTGAAGGCTCTATGGAGTAAATTTATGTACCTAATGGCATGAGTTTCAGCCACCCATCAGACCTAGTGAATTCTGAAAGGAATTTTTACAAATTTGTCATAAGTCAAAATGTTTGTATGCAGTGAAGTATGGAGACAAATAATAGCAAGGCAAAAGATTTAGTTTTAGTAAAAGGAACATTTATGAACTTTGGATAAGTTAAAATTTCACTATTTTTCTTAATGTCTTCTGTAAAAGAAGATTAGTTAATTACAAGAGGAAGGAGATACTGGAGATAAAGTGAACAATGGAAAGAATAGGAAAATTTAAGTAATAATAACTTCTGATCAGAGTAAGACAAATACTTAGAGCAAAACTACAAATCAATCTGGCCATCAGTACAGCTAATTAAATATACTTTCTTATATTTCTACTTCTCAGTTCTCCCATTACTGGAAGCACCCATCTTAACCCGTTACTTGCCGTGGCCATTTTGTCTTATTGTGATGGCAAAATCATTTGTGAATTGAAAAAATGATATTTTATTGGATTTCAGATTTTATTTTTGTAAATAGTAGCATAACATTCAATTATTTGTACAAAATTGTATTGTTTAATGAAGTTTAAAGAGGAATTTAATGAAAAATATGTTTCTTAAACTACATACATTTATGAAAGTTTTTATGAAGTTTCAATCATATTCATCCACTAGTTTTATTGTTGGAATGAAATATAGCAAGACTTGCATTGCCTACTAAGAAAGTTAGTAGCCGGTAATCATCGGGTTAAAATGTGAAAAATAAAGTTTTCACTCTGATAATGAGTAAATACACCTGTAAAAATTTTGTTTTTCGTTATCCAAGAAGAAAAATCATTAAAAAACAACAACAAATGGAAAGTAAGCAACTGATCCTGTGCCACTGAACAAACTCATATAAAACCCTGTTTAATTATCAGATTATCCATAAAAGAAAGCTATGAAGAGAAAAATTCAACATTTTCCTTACCTGATGAAAGACATTCAAAACACCACATGCAAAGACAGGTACAGTAGCATCAGTGAGAGCAGAGTTTCCTAGTTGCAAATTCTTCTCTAGAAGAAACATCCAAAAGTAATCACCTAATTTTATTTTCACATAAAAAGAACAAACCCAAAACTTTTAAAGTTTTTTTTTCATAATAATTCTGTATATTGTATTTGTCTTGATTGTTTGAAGCAAGTTAAGTTAACTCTTTCACTGCCACATTTATAGTTAAGCAACTCTCCTAGTATCAGTTTTTTATTATTTTAAATACATAATAAGAAACAAAATACACATACTTTATTTATGTATCTAACACTTGAAAGTGATAAATTCTCTGAAGACTGAAGAGGAACACCCTTCCTTCGTTGTGGTACAAAATACATAACTCTCACACAGCGTACTACAAGGGGATACACATGTGCCCAAGGCAATGAAATAGTTAACTATATTTGTCATTTAGTGCTTTTTATGTTATACAGTTCCTTGAACCTAACCAAACACATGTATGGTGTTTAGAAATGTCTCTTTTACTCACATAGTAATCCCATAATTACCAAAGTTAGATAAACTAAAAATACAATCATATTAAATTTAAAACTCTGAGATTATGTTGCAAAACCCTTTTGTTACTGTATTTTATCTAATGAAAACAGTAAATTGTAATAATGGTTTTTCTTAACGCAAGTAAAATTCATTTTGTCCTCTTCAATATGTACAGACTTTGTTTACGGGGGTGTAAAAAGTACTACAATATGTTACTCAAGTATCCATCCTGAAAATTACTTAAGTTAGAGTAAAAAAAAAGTATCTACTGAATAAGTACTCAAGTAACAAAAGTAAAAAGTACACCCATCTACAGTTCTCTCTAACCCTACATGTATGTTGCAGGTCATGAGATCTAGAAACAAAACCCTGTATGGAAAATATTTACCAAACTATGTAAATTACCAGTGAATAGCAATGATGTAAGATTTATCATTCTTTTAGTTATCTAGAACACATTTGTTGTAAATAACTGATTACTATGGCATTCACAACTACACTTAGGTTTAAGCCAACTCATACAAGCAACTGTGCATGAACTTATTACAACAGTAATGCCAATAGTGAATATTGTACAAATCTTATTGTTTCAGAATAAACTCTACAGGGAATTAAAAAACAAGTAAATGAATTCAACCAACTATATTATGCACAAAAGTTTTTATTTAATTTGAGAAGCAACTGGTTTTCAAAGTTGCCACAGTCAAGCCTTGCATGGAGAGGGCTGAAAGTCTGACCAGCAGAACTGATGAGACACTCGCAGACAGCAGAGGCAATGCGTGTTCAAACATATGGCTATATCAGGTAGGATGGAGAAAGGCTGGAAAATCTCCATACCATTAACAGAGCATGCCAGGTATGCCTCTAGGTCCCTCTTCCCAAAGCTATGCTGTGGCTTCAGAGTTCCCATGCACGCCTTGCGTTTTGACTGCCTGCCACAAATTTGACTTTTGAGAATAGTAACAAAATGAAAGGTAGTGCAGTAAAATTACAAGTAATATTCCTAAAAATTACCTTAAGTTAGAGTAAAATTATTTGAAAATATAAATATTTTTTAAAAAGTAGATACTGAAAAAGTTACTCAAGTAAAGTTACTTCATTACATTTACACTCCTGATTTTTTAAATAACAGAATGAATAGTAGGACAATACTAAAAATTCTACCAACTCATGACCTTAAGCCTAGCTTCGTATTCTTTTTCACAAAATGAATAAAGTCTCAAACTGTTTTTTAATAGAAAGTATATGAATAAAAAAAAACACTATCAAAGACTTAAGGTATTTTCTATATATGAAATGCTTATTTATTTTAAAATTACAGTTTGTTCCAACAACATACCCATATCTTGTTGAGAAAGGTTGAGAACACTGCTGAAAACTGGCTTAACCTTTGTCTGAGTGAAGTTTCTACCAAACAAATGACACAACTGTTGCATAGTCTCAACAATGGAGTGTACCGAACTCTGGCAGTGTGAATCAACCAAGGACACCAATTTCATCAAGCTTGGAAGACTAAAAGAAAAAAGTATACTGTATAAACTACTGAGGCCTAATTCCTACTTTATTTAAACTAGCTGAGGGTGCCCATTAGGAAAGCAAAAACTGTATAAAGGACAATGTTAGATAATGTTTTCCTTCCTTGTTTCTTTTGTTATTAATATCCCTAATGACCTCATTAGATGTTAATTACATACACTGATTTGTAAAAATTAATAACTGACTCATTTAACTAATTAGGTATTTAAGTGCCCTAAATCAGGGTCATTTTTTTCATCCCCCTTTTTGGGTAAAAATCCTAAAACAAATGCCCATATACAGTCAGACAGTTCTTAATTAACATATAAAAAATTATGATAATTGTACCAGCCAACTGTTGGTAATAGAAGTCGAAACTCTACAAGAAAAGTGGAAATGTGCCCTTTTTTTATTCCCCATTCTCAGACAAAAACTGTAAAACAAAACAACCCATGTATACTGTTCAGAGTTCTAGATAAGATTTTCGGTCAATGAAATCCAACATTCCAATGAGGTGTTTAAAACAATCCACCTTTTTTCTCCTTAAAATATAAATGATTCTTACATATTATAAAGCCTAAGGCTTAGGGTTTATAATATGTAAATATTTGTATCTTAAGGAGAAAAAGGGTACATGTACAATTCATTACCTTGACAATGCTTTGCCACATAGAGGTAGTAGTCTGAAAAAAGCCATTATTTCTTAAAGTACTTCCCTGCAGTCCTATATCACAAAACTGGTCTGTGTAGTTTGATTAGCCTGCTCAAAATCTGATATGACTAGCTTAAGCCTTTACACCACAGCTGAATGAATATGAATAACTGAGTTTATAACTGACTAGTATCTTTACACTTCCTGTGTCTAAGTCTTTTACAGCTCTGGCTCCATTAAATAATATATCCTGAACTGTGACTAGATTTAAAAGATTCCAGCACTTCCTGTGCATTATTACCAAGAACTAACTGTTTAACTTCAAAAACGTCCACATAATTACATGTTAAACTTATATACTGTACTTGTTCAACAACTCCTACGGGAGCCGAAGCACTCATTAGGATTCTTAGCCCTAGGTCCCTTTCTTCTTTTGTAACCCATAGCCTGACTGCTCTAAATGGATCATAATTTGATAACTGAATATTAATCATTTGAACATTTAAAAAACTGTCTGGAGTTTCTGCTTTCAATGAACATCTGTATCTGTTTTTTATTCTATTTTTGGCACTGAAACTCCTTTCACACTCAACACTTGCAACAGTTATACATAGAGCTATTGTACACAGCTTTACAAATGTAGGCATCACTTCTTTATGCAGTTGTATAACCCTCTGGAACAGACTCTGAGTAGGTAAATGTTTGTATGAGCTTGAAATCATATACCTTTTAGCATGGGCCACTCTTACTTGAGCTTTTCTTTGTCTAAGAGTTTGCCGACTTGTTTTTGTTCTTCTCTTTTTTAACATACCTTATATATACTAATAAATGTTTCTGTATTGATAAATCTGTGTTTTCATCTATCATTATTGCATATGTCTTGGACTAAAGGGTTTCTTCTATAAGTGACCTCTGAATAACTACTTATACATGACTGAATATCATTTATTGTTACATAACTTAAATTCTTATATTTAATATTTGCTCCATTCAACTTCTGTAACTCAAATAAACTGTTGACCTTATCAGATGGCAACTCCTCTTTTGACACATAAAAGACTGTATGAAACAATTTACTGTCATCATCTGATACAGAGACTGAATTATCTTCCTTGTTAACATCACTGTCATACATTTTCTTCTTGTCCACAGATTCCTTCAGTAAAACTTTCTTGGCCTGCTGGTGTTCTGAAGACAGCCCATGCCTCTCAATACTGTTCTTCTGAATATTAGGTGATCCCTCATTCACCCATTTGCTTCTCACTTTTCTCTCTATGCAAATGCTGCACTTCAGTGTCTTATCTAACCCTCTCACCAACCATCACTAACCATTGAAATTTTTTTTCTTCCAAGACTGAATTACCTTTCCAGAAACAATAGTTCCAGAGTGCTTTTTTGCTGTTTGACCACCAAGTTCAGTGCAAGAAATGATGAGGTTATCTACGATTTTGCGTACGACCTTTGCACTGTCTTCAGTTTTATCATGTCAAGTAAAAGATTTGTACATTGTGGTCTTATTTCTCACATAATTCTTCTTAAATCATCCTGGTTGCACACTAAACTGTTGATGAGACAAAATTTTTGTCATCCATGCATCATGAGTGCTTGATAAAGTAAAAAAAAAAATCGATAAGCTTCTGCCAACTCGGATTGCATCAGACTGACAGTTCCGCTAAAATTGAAGCAGCATGTTGTATTTACATGGATAGCAGAAAACCAGTCGCTCGTGCTCGATTAGCTTACATACCTTTATGCCAGATAAAGACAGTGAATCCGCACAGGCCGATATTCAAAGCATTTTTGTATGCCTAGATCTGATTTTTAATACATTTTTTAGGAAAAATATGTGTGAATATGCAGTACACATCCTAATCTAGAGCTCTGAGTGTCAGACAGTTTCCAGCTACCATCCACAAACTTCAATAATCATGTCAGCCAACTCTGAGTGAAAAATGCTAACACACACACACACACATAATGGATCATCTTTATAGAAACACTTTATAAAGATCATCTTGTGTACGGAAATGTGTAAATTTCTGGGCAAGTTCACTAAATGTATAACAGTTGATCTGACAGTATGAAAATAACCACATTATAGGGATTAAGGCTTGATCAAGTCACAAATTCAAGGTTACAATTTTAGGTGTTTTTATTGGCTGGTTTTTCTTCTGAAATTTCTCCAAATATACAAGTTCTTTGTTTAAGACTATCAAAATTAACTTTTAACATACATAACAATCTTCACATAAAAAAAAGGTAACTTACAAAGACTTTACTATCCAATCAAAACTGTCCCAGCTTCTGAACCATTCTTCTCCAATGTACTGATCAAAGGCTTTGACTTGGAGGAGAAATTTCTCCTTGTCTCCAGCAATAAACAGAGGATCAAGGAGTGGACTGGAAGCAACTGGCAAGCGATCAACTATTGAAAAAAAATTATTGCAATTTATTTTTGTTTTTTTTATATAAAACAATACATTACCTGACTTCACAACAAAAGCTACCACAAAAGAAGCTTCTGATTCAACATAACCAATAAAATTCAGTAAACACACTAATTTTCAGCATTCAAATATACTGAAAATTTTATTATTAATGCACTAAACTTTCTGACAATTTTTTCCTACAATCAACTAATATTTTTACAGAACCTAGTGATCAAAACCTTTAAAAGTCGATACACTGACATTTTTAGTATAATTATCAGGACATGAAGCAAGAATGATTTTGTTTTTTAGTGTTTTCCTTGTAATTTCCATAACTTTTTTGGTGTTGGATTCTTTATTTTAGTGCAAACCTACACAACTGGCTATGCGTCTGTGCTCTCTCCACTGCAGGGAATATACTCCAACTTTTAGCATTGCAAGTCTGTAAACTTACCATTGACCCACCAGGGGTCTTTTGCTGTTGGATGTGCTTGACTGCAAATACATGACATTTACAAGTATATCAACATTTTACGCATTCGTAAGCTGTGATAAGTAAGTGAGTGGTGTTTTGTAAGTAATGACCTACATTGTGTTTCATTGTACTTTGTTTTGATAAATTCTGTTAGTTATAATGTTTAAAATAACTTTAACTAATTTTTTGAATTAAGCTTAACACAAAGTTTTTAATTAAATTTTGAAGCAATGAAAATTATTTTTCATTGAAGCTTAATATCTGATTTCAGGACAAACCTAAATCTCCTAAACTGAATGAAACTTGATAATATTATTGGGATCATGGCTGAAAAATGTCATTAACCATTATAGATTTTAGTTTTCTTAAGTATAGGTTTAGAACATCATGCACTTCAAGTCATTAATTAATAAGTAACTTTTTAGCAGTAATCTATAAACAATAGTTAACATATTTTCAACCATAAGTTTGAAATGTAAACGATAAAACATTACTTATGTAAAGTGTATCTTTTTTTTCATACCTTCATTATCTCCCATTTGACAATATTCTTCTATTTTTTCTGTGAAGGGCCCACTTTGCACCACAGAAACAAACAAAAATGGCAGTGAAGCATGCAATGCTCTCATAAGAGGCTGTTCTTCAACTTGTGTAGGACTTTCTTCATTCCTCATGTGTGATAAAGCCTTTTAGCAACACAAAGGGTATAGGTAATATAAAACCACAAGTACCATGGTAATTTACTTTCAGGTTACACAGTCTAAAACTTAAGAATGTGACTTCTTTTTTAATACACTCATTAAACTTAATTGGTTTTCTAATTTCTTAACATCAGCTTTAAAGGATAATACTTTTTCTCTAAATATTCACATGAATAATTCTGAAGATAGATGCTCTTCATAAAAAAGTTGAAGTATAAATTTCAACATCAAATTTAAACTTATCCCACTAGTGATATATATTTGCATTATTCATCTTACCTGCCACTAGTACACAAGATACAATAGTTAAATGTTTATTACATGTATAAAAATTTAACAAAAACAATCTTAATAACAAAACATAAGATGCATTTTTCATTACTCCACTGAAAAGCATTAAAAACTAAGAGCATCCAGTGCTGTTTACAGCATTTGTCAAGCTCTCTTCTAACTGTCCAACAGTAGTTTAAAATATTGTCCAGCTCTAACCTTTAGTTGTTCTTCAAGGCCTCTCATCAGTGTTGGTATGAAGTCACTTTCTAGTCTTCTCTGTTCCAAACCCCACACAGCAACTGATGGGAGGAGCACAGAAAGCGAAACTTCTACCACGCTAGATCCACTGTCTTCCATAGTGTGAAGTAATAGTTCTGTTACCTAAAATTCAAATTTCTTATAGTTTTCACCCCTTTTAAACTCAGAATGATAATATTTGTTGTTTAAAGCAGATGATTATTCAAGAAATAAATGAAAATGTCTGGTCTTTACAGATGATTATTTGAATTAAAGTAGGTTTGTTTTAAATATAATAGTTATTGGTATAGCTATATATTTAATATTTTTTTCAGTTTAACAGAAATAAAAGTACCGAATGAATTTTTAATCCCATTATACATGTACAAGAAGAAAGTACTTGGTATCAAAACAAAGTACATTATATTGTTTATATTGACCAAGCACCTCTTAATTGTTTCTTTGTTACTTATTGCTAGCTGAACAATTACACTTGTGCAAGAGATTAACCACTGAAGTTATACTTTTTCCAACAAGTTAGATCGTAAATTAAATGTCTCACTACGGGTATGTTAAAGAGCTCATGTTATGACCTTTTACAGAGTTACATTCAAAATTTAATTAAACAACTTTAATATCAATGCAAATGAATAAATTTCACATTACAATGTAGTTAATAAATCAAATTATAATACTATATAAGTTTTAGATTCTCAAGTTTATAAGAAAATATTTAAAAATATCCTCAATCTCTTTAGGTCTTCCCTCTTCTTGAATTTACTCTGAAGTATAGAACTTAACACAAATTACGTATTATAATACAGATATTATAAAATAAAATTTAGTTTTTATAGTTTTCAATCTTCTTTGTTTACAGAGACATAAACTAACAAATCAGACTCACTTGTGACATCAAACGTGTCATATCCTCGCTTTTACAAATTGCCAATAACTCTCTGAGATTTTATATCATTTATAACCAATAGAAAGCTAAAGTTTTAATCTCCCAAATAATGTAATATATTATGTTGTTTTCAGTGCAGAGTATTGTCTATTTTGTCTTCAGTTTGAAAGTTTCTCTCACAGTGGTCAGATCAAGAAGCTTAGAGAAATTTTTAAGGCTCTTATGAACATAGTTAAAAAGTTAGATAAATTACAATAGTTATAGAATATTGTTTGCTTTGTGTGTGTGTTATTATACTGTGTTTTTAGGTGCATTATTTAAGTAAATAAAAATTTTTAGTGTACTATCAGTATGAAAAAAAAGTAGGCTTAAGTTTCACTGACAACAGACACCAAAAAACAAGGTAAGTACTATTTCTTGCTTCTTGTATTTATTTTTTATGTATTGTTATAAAAGTACCTAAAATGTAACAATTTAAACATATTAGGTTAGATTAAGCAAAATAATGACAAAAAATAATAATAATTCTCCACTAAGTATGCTCACAAGTAGCTTGTGTGTTACACCACTCAAGAGGGTAACTTGAGCTACTTGTTCACCAAGTGATTTACAACTTGTATGAAATGATAATTAGACACAGTTCAAAGGGCAATAAAATTAAGTATGAACAGATGTATACTGTTATGGCTTTAAGCTATTTAGGATAAACAAATGTAGTTTCATGTTATAATTTGTTGTCATTCTAGAAAAAAAGGGCAATTTAGATTTATTTTATATTTTTTTGTGGTAGTTAATACGGTTGGTCAAAACAATCGAGTTCATATAAAATTAGGGTAGAGAAAATATAAAATTCATAAAATTTTATTGAATAAAAACATTTTATATTTATTTACAACATTATAGATGTTAAAATTTGAAAATTTTCAGATGAAGAAAAGTATTTTTAGTTTTAACATGAAAATTAATTTGCACACAGAATATTCAAACAAATACTCAATATATTCATTAACAAATCTTTATTTTATTTTAATAAAAATACTTCACTAAAAATATGATTTTTGGTATGTGCAAAATTTGTAATATTAACTGAAAGACTGCCAAATTTCATGAAGATATATGCACTATATTGAGAGTTATAAGTATTAAATCTATAAAGACTTTAAATGAGTAAAAAAGGTCATGTGGTCGGTCAAATTGACCAACCCCATATTAAGAGAGTTAATACTGGATCTATAGTATTTACATTTGTATGGTTTTACCTGAACAAACTTATCACTATCAGATATATGAACCAGCAGTACAGCCAGACTTCGTGCTGCCGCTTCGCGGACGACTTCCTCTTTGTCGTCACAAAGCATCTGCTGTAGCATTGACAGCAGTAGCGAACTACAAATTTCTGGCTGCAATACAAAAATGTAACAATAACTTAATAACCAAGCAAATGTTTATTTTGTACATCAATTTCATAATCACCAAACTTTTATGTTAAATATCTGTTACTTTCCACAAAATAATTTGCTAATATAATTAAGTGTAGCTGAAATCTTGGAAAACAAAAGTTTAAAAACATGAAGAAATACACACAATAAAGTTAATTTCTAAATCAGATAACCATAACACTCAACTTGAGGAGATAGTTTCATTTTCAAACAGTGTATACATAATAAAGTCACAATAAACTCAAATATACTACTTAAGTATGGTACAGTACTGATTTATTGGATAAAAAGTTTGTTTTATACCTATGACAGTAATTTTAAAACTATATGTGATGTTCTTGATGTATCAAGTTCAGCTTTTGTTTGTTTCAGAGCAAAGTCACACTGGGCTATCTGCTGTGTCCACCATGGAGAATAGAACCATGGATTTTAAGACCTAAAGCTTAATTACTGTTAAGTGTGTTTAAAATGCAGGATGCTCTTTTACACGCACATTAAATTGTCTTTGGAAGTTATTTCTAATAAACAGTGGGAGAAAATACAAAACACAACTATAATATCAAAAGCTTAGAAGACACTTTAGGAGTTGAGTTTTCAAATTACATTGTTTTATCTTTGAAACAACCTTTTTTTTTATTGAATCATTTTAATATAATGTTTTCCAAAGATTATGGAACACCTAATCAAGTTTATTCAAATCTGCTTTTAAAAGTATGAATTTTGGCCATCAAGGTTTCTGGTTTTTGGTGAAGCATGGTACAAACATCTGGAAAAAACATTTTACCATTATGTTTACAAAGCAAGACATTTTCTTTCTCATTCCTCTGTCAATTTTCTTACATCTGATTTGCTTTTGAAGCTATTCAGTTGAAACTGATACTTCGTGCATGGAAACATGAAGCCAATGCAAGTTTTCACAGAGGATGCAAGTTTTCATTTCAGATCAAAAAACTTAAAATAGTATTAATGGTTCTACAAGTAAATCTTAATAAATTATATATTCAAATAATGATCATATTTTAGCTCCATACACAGTTGGATGCTGTTTCTATACAAAAGTATCCTGCTGCTTTTCTTTTTATACTAAAGTCTATTCTTTAATATGAAATAATTGAACCATATATCATGTACAGAAAATTATATTTCATACAAATTATTAGAAGTTTATTTGAGGTCTATATGAAAATCTTATAAATTCATTTCTCAAGCCAAAAAGCTAAAGCAAAGCAACAAAATCTATTACACATGTACTTACAGGAACATGAGAAGCAAGAACACCACAGGACTCGGCAACTAACAGTCTTCGTTCCGGGTATTTGTGAGCAAGCTGCAAATGTAACCATTACTGTAGTATAGAAAGTTTAAAGTAAAATACAAAAGTCACCATACTACAGGATATATATATAACATTCAGTTTTTAGAAGACAAACATAAAAAAATTAAGACAAGTTAAAATATGTGATATTGATACTGTGCTACAAAGCAACTTTTTTTACCTCAATTATGAACATAAATGTTTGATATTTTCTCTGAAATCATGAGTTCTTTAAGAACAGGTCAAAGCACTCCCATCCATAGTAAGGCTTGTTTTACTAATAAAATGGTAAAAATTTTTATCTTTTCTCAAAACAGTATATAAATTCCTACATTGAGGATAATATGAAACAGCTGTAATTAACAATAGAGATATTAAGATATTAAGTTAAAAAAAAACTATCAATATGTCGGGAAAGATATTGGGATAACAGCTAATCCCAAACTGATTACAGTTTACACTTACACAAAGCATACAATTATGTATTAGAGAAAGCCAGAAAAAATCTTAACAACTTACTTGTTCCCAGCACTGTGGCAAGAGTTCTGATTCAACTCTTGTCGGGCCTAAGTGTTTGGCAATGGCAACAAAGCCTGCAAGAATCATATGTCTAGAAAAAGATATCACAATGTCAGTTAAAATATGTTTGATATTATATTACACTGCCATAGGAAGCAATTTTTGAGTGGTCAGGCCATTGCTATATTTCCATTTCTAGGTGGTCTGGAGGCATGCCCCCCAGAAAATCTTTGAAAATTTAATGCTATGAGATTGAATCTTGAGCTATTTTAACTATAAATATTGTATACACACAATGTAATGTATTAAATTAAAAGAAACAAGTTTTAATACATAAGTTTGTTTGTTTTTTAATTTTGTGCAAAGCTATCTGCGCTAGCCGTCCCTAATTTAGAAGTGCAAGACTAGAAGGAAGGCAGCTAGTCATCACCACCCAATGCCAACTCTTGGACTACTCTTTTACCAACGAATAGTGGGATTGACCGTCACATTATAATGCCCACACAGCTGAAAGGGCGAGCATGTTTGGTGTGATGGGGATTCGAATCGGCGACCCACAGATTGCGAGTCGAGCGCCCTAACCACCTGCCCACGCCGGGCCTAATACATAAGTTGTAGCTATACATGCCATGGCCTGACTGGTCTTACTGCTTCCTACGGTCCTGTATTACAAACTAAGAGTAATGATAATGAGTGTTAACAAATGTTTGTGATTCCTCTTTTATTCAGCTTTAGTAGCTGTGACTCTTATGAGAAAAAATAACACAATAAATAGTTCATATAAAGGATAAAGAAGAGCTTATTTATTTTGTTTTTATGATTTATTTTTCTTCAGGTAGATAAGATATCCCTGAGCTGTATTACAACAGTCAAGGAGCATGCAGTGCTCAGAAATGGGATAGCTAAATACCAACTACAAAGAAGGGCTGATAACACATTATAATCCTATGTCTCCTTAGGAATTTCCTTGGGTAGTATTGCCATTCAAATCATGGTACCAGTAATTTTCTACAAGTCATTAAAATCTAAGTTGCTAGAAGTGACGATTTCAGAATATTGTGGTAGAGGGCATGGTGCTGATAAATGATCTCAACTCTTAAAGTATATGACATAAATTGACAAAGGTCCTAAAACTGAGCTCTGATGACATTAATTCAATTTGACAGAACTCCTTTTACAACAACCCTCTGCTTTTTTTCATCTATCAAATTTTCTATCCAATGAGCCAACCTATCCCCTATACCTAAAAGGTATCTTTTTTTTAACAAGCCTTTTATGTGGCACCTTGTCAAATGCTTTCTGAAAGTTAACATTGTCTTATCTCGAAAATGTATTTCCAATAATAACAACTCTCACACTGTGCATTGGGGAGTTCTGAGGAACAGTGCAATAGATGAACCAAGTTCCCTAAATTTTTAAAGCAAACCGACCTTAATTTATTCAATCCGATGATTGGCAAGGATGGGCTAGATCCCCTTATGTTTTACATGTGATAGTCAATGTGGTGGTCTAGCATAGTACAATAATACCACCCAGTCACCTTCTAAGTTGTCTTAGGTAACACCTCATTTCTACAGAGCCTGTTACCACCTAAATAAAGTCTATTACATTAGTGGTTGCTAGTGCAGAATTGGTTTGATAAAATCACACCTGCCTGAACAACACTCGCCACAGAGTGGGATCCTGTGGAAACGAGGTAAGGGACCCTGAAAGGTAAAGAAGAGACAAGCATAGCAATCAAAATACTCACCCCTCATTATAATCTAGTAGAAGTGATTAAAATAGTAACAGGTGGTAGTCGATAACCCTCAGATGAAGATACTGCCAGATCATGCAAATAATGTGAGATTAAAGTATTGGGGGAGGTCCACATACCAGCCATCACAATGTCATTCAGTGGGCCACTAAGGACATAGAAATGTGAAGAATCTAATTAGATTTGACTCATAGAAGTCTCTTCACCTTCAAAGACAGCCCAGAATAGGCAATACGGATCAATTTTATAAAAACCTTGTCAATGTAACTGGGAATATATCCTGGGAAACTGAATGATCCTTAATGAATAAAAAGATGGTCATAGAAGTGAGAAATAGTGATTAGAAGAATCGGTGAAAAGGACTTATGCCCTTCCCTAGCTGCCAGTTTCTTTGGGAAGAAGAACCAGTCTGAGGATGTAGGTAGAATAATAAAGTTTCCTATGCACAATCAGTGCAAACCACTCTGACAAGCAACGTCTGTAAGTCAGCAGTAATGAAAAATAAACCTTCAGGGAAAAGAAATACATGGCACATGAGGCTAAGGTCACAAACGGGTGTTGAGAAAAGGCATGTAATGCCACCTTAATATATGATTTAGGTAACTGGAATGGTCATTTGAGATAAAAGACCCGAAAGGACTTGTGGGAAATGGAGAGTCTCTAGTATCGAACGGTAATCAATAAGGCTGCCTTAAACAGGGGGTGATTGTGGAAGATGCAAAAAGCTCTGCCAAAGAGCCAGGTCTATACATCATTGCCAAAATGTGTGCCATTTCTGTTGATAAGTGTCCATTGCAGGACTAAGCAAAGACTGAGATAGATACATGGCAACCTTAGAAATTAAATCCCAACACTGTACGAAGGACTGCATAACCTCCATGCCTGAAGCCTGAGCTTCTGGATCATGGCTTCTTCCACAGAGATGGTCAAAGAGGAAGTGGAAGAGGTGGGCACTCCTGAAGGTACCACAGAAGCAGAAACCAGGGTGTAGCTGCTAATCTGGTGCTATCAACAGACCCAACAACAGGTTGGAACTAATCACAGTTAGTACCTTGGATAACATACAAATTGGAGGAAAGGCCTAGAGTTGTAATCCTGTCCCATCCTGATGGAATGCATTCATTGCCAAAGCCTAAGAGTGAGGTACTGAAAACCACGTTGCCAGTGGTTAGGTGTTCCAATGAGTGGCCAACCCACCAATCATCAGTTTTCAAAATGAGAGCCAATCCAATAGAAAAAGTTGTGTTGCAGCATCTATTCTGCTGGAAGAATATGTTTGGGTTGAGACAATTGATCTGTCATCCTGAACTGCAGTATCTGACCCACCCTTGTGCACAAAAAAATGCAGATAGTGGTGGGATGCTACCACTATGGCAATGTGCAGATAGGAGCTGACAACATCAAACTTGGACATCCATAATCCTAGTGAAAAATGCCAATCTCCTGTCTTCTTGGGCCCAACAAACTGATGGGAATAAAACCCTGGAAGAACCAGCATGATTCTCTCTCTCTACCCCCAGACCAACCAAACTCTGATAGCCCTAGAACTAAGCTCCAAAATCGGAGGATCTGAGGAAGATGGAAACCCTACAGGTTAAGTGGATCATGGTGGTGAAGATGTGAACTAAATGACTAATGCTGACTCAAGGACCTGTAGTGCCCATGGATCCATGGGTTAAGGTTTACCACACATCCAGAAATTCTTGGAGCCAAGCCCCCACAGACCCAGAAGGCATACATTAGTCACTGACACTGCTGGTGACTTACCAACCGAGAAGTGGAACCCTTAGATATGGACAGAATCTATTCTTGGTACCAATGAACCAAGGTGCTGATGTCGGGGTCAGGACCCACAAATTGAAGCAGAACTATGACCCCCTGTAGGAGGCAATGAAATTCGACTCCAACAACAACAACAGGGATGAATCTTGAAGCAGACAGCTGAACCAACATGCATGCTAACAATGGATCCAGCTTGCCATCAATGAAGGTGGTGATCCTGAGAAACTTTAAACAAAGTTTAGAGGGATAATGAATAACTCAGCACCATATATAGGGTGAGACGAATCCTAGAAAGTTGTTTATTTTAAGAAAACACGTTGCACCATTTACCGTGTCCACTGTGGGGAATCAAACACTGGATTTTAGAGTTGTTGACTTACCTCTGTCCCACCAGGGAACATTGATCTATTCAGATTAACTAAAACAATCTGCTTTAGAACCCCAAATTTCCAGGAGCAGATATATTGTTTGAGAATCGGAATATGCTTCCACCTGATAGTGGTTGACTAAATCACGTAGTTCTGACAACTGCTGTAGACAAGGTATAGTTGTTCTTTCATGTAACTGAGCAGTAAAACTCCATGCATGAACCACAATGTCAGTGGATGGAGGGAAAACTAAGAATTCACTCCCAGACCTTTCACCCATCAAGTATGGTGCTGGTTCAAAAGTAACTGGGGAAAGACCCAAAACATCACACCTTGATGGACTAATTGAAGAAAATGAGCCTGAGGCAGCTTATCCCACAGTGGTCTCCTGAGAAGCTAACAGAATAAAAGAAAGTGCAGGAAAAAACAATTCTAAATTATCTTCAGAATGTCCAATGATTGTTGAAAAACTCTACAATCAGAGGTAGGAACGACCTGATTTGCTTCTGTGCCAAAAATAATAATCTGGGAATTCATGCCGTACATCATTTTGCCAAACGAGATATTTTTTTTATCAAAACCACCTAACACAAAGAACGCTCAAAGTATCTCCAACGCTCGCACCACAGAAAAACCCGTTAGTGAAAGCTTTGTCAAGAAAAAGTGATAACATTATCTGAATGAGGTGCTTATATACAGTACCAGGATAAAGGGCACATTGACAAAGGTGGAGTGCGTCACAAGACAAATATTGCCTAGGGCAATTAAGTGGGGTACAAAAGACTGGAGCAAGCGTGAATAAATCGGACCAATACTTTTAGATGGGCAAAGGAAGAAACCTAGCAGTAATATAAGAGGAGGTGAGAATGTTTTGTTTGGAAATCCAGATACACCAAATCTACACCCTTACCTTCATCTACATAAGAAGTAACCTCTTCAAAGAGTGTCAAAAGATTAGTAAGACAAGATTTTCCCATAGTGAAAAGATGTTAACTATCCAACAAAATATTTTAACTTTTTAAATGACTTTTATAAGACTTTCAAAACCTTTTCCCACAGTGGATGTAAGTTTAACAGGCCTATAATTACTGGGATAATGTTTATCATCTCCCTTGAAAAGAGGAGTAACATTAGCTAACTTCTAATTCTCTGACACCTGTCCACTATTCAGGAACTGACAAAAAAAAAAGAATAGCAAGTGACTCGCGTATACAATCCTTAACCTCTTCAAAAACCCTCGAGTACATACTATCTGGCCTAAGTGCTTTATTATTCTTTAAACTTCACAATTGTTTTCTTAAAAAGCCCAGAATTAATGTGCTTATCTTGTTGAGTCTTGTTTACACCTAGCAACTATTCAGGTTGTGGAATATTTTTTAAATCTTCATTAGCAAAAACTGAAGAAAAAATAGAATTTAATCATCCTGTCATCCCATAAACGTTAGATATTAGTCTTCTAGTATCATCCCTCAAAGGCCCTACATCCATTCTAACATCTTGCTTATCCTTAATGAATTTGAAGAAATCCTTATTATATATTTTTACATTTTCAGACTAACTTTTTTTCATATAGTTTTCATGATTTCCTAACTTCTATTTTGACAAACTCTCTTGACCTTCTATAGTTCTTCAAATCTCCCATCATTGCAGTGAATTTGAACTTCTTATAATTATATTGCTTTTCTTTAACTCTGTGAGACAACCTGGTTTTTTACTTGCAGCCATCCTTTTCTTTTTATAAGAAACATGCCTATCTTGAATTTTTAAGAATTTATGTAAAAAATATTTCCACATTTGATCAGTATCTCAAACTAATTAATTCAGTTGCCCAATTCACAGCACATAATCCTTGTCTCATCTCTCCAACATTTTCTTTTTTGAAATTTGGAACCAAAATATCATCATGTCTTATCTCTAGATGCAGCAGAACATCAAATCTAATCGAACATGATCACTTGCACCCAGATGTTCCCCAACCTCAAACATTTCTTTATTGATTGGCAGTTTACTCTGGCCATATGTAGCTTAAGGCACTCTGATGTAAATGGTAACTTTTCATTCCTTATTATTTCTTATAAAACACCCAGTACCTTTTGCTGTTAGTAGCAGTTCCTGTTTTTGGTTCCTTTGTACACAATAAGCAAACACACTTTTCATTAGATTTTTCAGAATTTCCATTTAAAACATCAGATTCACCCATTCTAAGCCAATGACTTCACTGGGAAGCTACTTGTGGAATCCCAATCTGTCAGTTAGTGGAGAGATAGTAGTGCTCTGCACACCAGTGTTCTAAGAATCGTGCTAATGTATACTTTGTAATGGTACTTAACACCAGTGTTCTAAGAATCATGCTAATGTATACTTTGTAATGGTACTTAACACCAGTGTTCTAAGAATCGTGCTAATGTATACTTTGTAATGGTACTTAACACCAGTGTTCTAAGAATCATGCTAATGTATACTTTGTAATGGTACTTAACACCAGTGTTCTAAGAATACGTGCTAATGTATACTTGTTAATAGGTACTTAACACCAGTGACGATAAATAAAGTAGTTACTAAATTACTCCTAGTTGTCTGTGTCAAGTT